TGAGAACGGGTAATAAGTATACCATTTATAACTGGTTGAAGGATGAGCAGCCAGGACTGGATAATCTGATGGGTAGGTTGGAGAGGGGTCTCAAGTAGAATACTTGAAGCTGCTCCATCCTAAACCCTGTCCCCTTCAATGTTTTTTGTTATTGACTTGACTAAGGACACTGGCCTTCCAATGAAAAGGATACTGATAAAAAGGAGTATGTGACTGATATGTTAAATGACAGTTTTTAATCTCTAAAAAAAAATGTTGACAAGATAAAAAAATATGGAGCCAAATAGCAAAAAAATTTGACAAGAATAAATGTCAAATTCTGTGAGAAGAGCCAACAAATGGTATTTGATTCAAACACGAGTGCTTGCCATGTCCTACATCAGACACTGTCTATGCTCCAGGGATACAAATGGTACCCAGTTTTTAAAAAATTTACAGGAACAAAAACAAAGATAAAGATACTAACATATCAAAGAGATAATACAAATATGTACAATATGGATGAAGAACTAAGTTGAACATAATTGGCTTCATAGAGACAGCGACATTTCATCTGGGTTTAAAGGTTGAGTGGTTGTTGACCAGGCATATTATCAGCAGGGCCCGTATTTCATGTGAAAGGAACAACATACGCAAAGTTATAAAACAGTATAGTGTGTTCCTGAAATGTATTTGAAAGAAGTGATGATGTAATAAACTGGGACCAGATTTCAAAGATCAGTATTACATTAAGGAGTTTGAACTTTTAAAGCTAGTATCTCCCAACTCGGTATTCCATAAAATAGAGTACAACAGGATGTTGATTATTGTATACTATGGAAAAAAAATGTGTTCTAAAGTAGGTTTGCACAGGGTTAAGCAAGTGTGTTTAATATGGTTTAAATAAACTTAAATATGTTAACGTGAATATTGAATCTCTAGGAGCAGGATATGTACTATTTCCCAAACTTTTTTGACCACAGAACTTAAAAAATTCCTGGAAGCAGGTAATAGGGAATTTGAAGGATTTTATGGAGAAGAGTGGCATGATGCGAATCTGCTTTTTTTCTTTTGGGGGTAGTTTTTCCTAGCTTACATGAGAGCCCTAGGGGATGTGGTGGGAGAGAACAGGAGCTGGGGTGCGGGTGGGGTTACTAAAATCTAAAAAACTGGACAGGGAAACTGTTGCCAGGGCAATAAATAATGTGGACTTGGAATAAAGGAGTCGAAATGGATATTTCAGAATCCAGGACAATTTTTTTTTTAATTTAGAGGATAAACTAATCAGATCTTTGTGACTTGATAGTGTATAGGAAATGAGGAAAGACGTGTTGATTCTAGTATGAGTGTCTTATTGCTTTCAACCAAGACAGGGAATGCAGGAGAGAAGGGATTTATTGGGGGTGATTAAATTTTGAATATAATTGTATATATATATTTAAGATGTGTTGGGGACATTTAGCTGGAGATGTCCAATAGGCAGATGGGCTATACAGATCCAGGGTTTAGCAAAGAGAACTAGGCAGAAGGGATAGATTTGTAAGTCATCGTTGTAGGTGACAGTTAAAACTGGGCATATGTGAGATTGCTTAGAGAATATGAAATGAGGTCTCTGTCACACTCCTTTATACCACCAAATAAGTTCCAAGTGATCAAAACTTTAAACTTTTTTTTTTTTAATTAAACAAGGAAGATTTTATGAAAATCTTGAACAGAGAAAACCTTTCTAGGGAATTCCCCCGAAGTCCAGTGGTTAGGACTCAGTGCTTTCACTACAGTGGCCTGGGGTTCAATACCTGGTCAGGAAGCTAAGATCCCACAAGCCACGGGGCACAGCCAGAAAAAAAAAACAAACTTTCTAAGTAAAATCCAGGAACCATGATTGCATATAAAATCCTCTACAGGAAAAAAAAAAATTACAATAAAGTCAACAAACTAGAAAATAATATTTTATATTACATTTCGTATTTATATTTTATTTACCATAATATTCTATATATTTAACAAAGATCTGTCCATATTAAAAGAGCTCTTACAAATCAATAAGAAAAAGACTAACAACCACGTAAAAAAATGGTTGAAGGCCATGAATAGGCAGTTCACAGAAAAAGAAATAAATGGTTTAAAAACATGAAAAAAAGTTCAATTTCACTCAAACAGAAATCAAGTTAAAAACAATAAGCTGCCATCTTTATCATTCAGATGGCAAAGGTCAAAAGATTTGACAAAAATTAACAAGAATATAGAATAGCAGGTACCCTCATATACTGCTGGTAAAAGTATAAAATGCTACACACTGTGGAAGACAGTTTGACACTATAACAAATGTAAATTCACACACCCTTTGACTCAGTAACCCCACTTCTATTGTATAGCTTATAAACACATACAGGGAGTACTCTGCAGCCATTCAAAAGAATAAGGTAAAGAAAAGAAAAGATTACACTCACATTTTTACTCCCTCAGTATAATTTTCTGGGAGGATATACAAAAAATCTAATAGTGTCTGTCATGGGAAGGTGGACTAAAGGGCTCAGGCTGGAACGATTTAACAAATACATGATTACTTTTCAAAAAAAAAAAAAATAAGGCACCAAAAGCAAAGGGCAAAGAAACGGATTACTTTAAGAGTTAAGTTTGCTATTATTAGAGAGGTTTTTGTTGAGAACAAAATTAGAATTATGTTAAGGAGCTTTTATTATATGTTAAAGAGGAAAGGAGATAGTCATATGATTTATTAAGACCTGTACTCTAACTTAGTTTTGGTAACCGTCAATTTAGAACACCACCCAATGTCAAAAGAAGATGAATAACCTATGTTAGGCTGATGTACACACTGCACACAAGTTCTCTTTCTCAATTATAGGAGTTCCAATTTCATCTGCTGTCGCAGGTGTGGCAATAGGATTGGTCACCAAAAACAATCCTGACAAGGGTGAAATAGAAGATTATCGTTTGCTGACAGATATTCTGGCAAGTATATTCACATTTTCAGATATTTAATGGTGAAGATTATACACACTTTACAAGCATAGTGTGCTTAGAAGAATGCTAGTGCTGGAGAAATAGAAGTCCTTGTTCTTACTTTCCTCTTCTGCATATTTGCCTTGGATTTTATAGAATGTGAGTTAAAAATAAATATTACAGTATAAGTGTCCATAATGGCTCACTTTAGGATGATCATAAATTAATCCTTATGCATTTATGGGGGGGAACATGATCTGAAAATAAAGTGATTTTCTAATGATATATTTATAACTTAAAAAGCCACAAATTGAAAGCAGTAGTTAATATACAGGTATTTTTTTGTGTATAATCCTAAAGGACATGGTTTAATTATAAAGCTATTTTTAAAAATTCCTCTACAGTGACTATGGGTGAATTTCACTTTTGTTTAAAATTATATCATAATTTGTTAAATTCTTTAAGGGGATTGAAGATTACCATGGTGACATGGATTTCAAGATAGCTGGCACTACTAAGGGAATAACTGCATTACAGGTATTTTAAAACCCATTTTGTTTCATTTTAAAATATTTAAATAAGGTCATAAATCAATATTTACATAAATTTTCGGCTTTTCCATATTAGGCTGACATTAAATTACCTGGAATACCAATAAAAATTGTAATGGAGGCCATTCAGCAAGCCTCAGGTAAGCCAAGCCAGTGTGCCTGATTCTCCTTTTATCATTGTCTTTGTGTTAATGGGAACTATAATTCCCATTAGGCTTATTATTAAAAATAGGCTTATTATAAAATACTGCTTTAGAAAATGAAATTTAATGTAACAACCTAGATCAAGAAGTATTAAGTTACTGGGTACATGACTAATCATCAATGTGGAAAACCAGTGAAAATTCAGTTTTTACAAATGGACTCCCCGAGATAGGATTGGAGAAGGGAATACAAGTAGAATTGTTAAGGTAATTGGGATGTAAAGAACTTTGATTATTAAGCTAAAGAGTTTGGATCCTACTTCATAAAACTAATACTGCTATATCTGATCACATTTATTTTATACAGTTATAATTTTATTATGTTTTTATCTCTTCAAGTGGCAAAGAAGGAGATATTACAGATTATGAACAAAACTATTTCAAAACCTCGAGCATCTAGAAAAGAAAATGGACCTGTTGTAGGTAATACATTAAAATTACTGATTTCATGATAAGGTAAACATATGAAAGTACATTGGTATTTAAAATTTTTTTTAAATCCATACACAAAACAAAAAAGTCAAATGCTTTTATAGTTAAAATACTTTAAATTTGAGGGGATATTCTTAGATGTTAGAATTGTTTTTAGTCACATAGCAAATTGTTTTTCTGTATTTCATGCTGAAATATTTTTACATGTGTCTAGACCAAGTCTTGAGTGACCAGTACATGTTTTAGGTTCATATATATATGTGTGTATGTGTGTATATGTATATATATATTTAAATAATTTATATTTTTGTCTGTACTACATTTCAGAAACTGTTCAGGTTCCATTATCAAAACGAGCAAAATTTATTGGACCAGGTGGATATCATTTAAAAAAACTTCAGGCTGAAACAGGTAAGAGTTGTATGACGTTTGGGATTTTTTATTTAATGCTAGGTCAGGTAAGTTTGCCATTTCACCTCTATTGTGTTTCTCAAAAAATATGTTTGAGAAATGAGAGACAGATATAACATTGACATCTCAATGAGATGAAAAAAGGATGTAACACTGACATGTCTTTACTGTAAGTTTTCTGTGTATGCCTCGTAATAAATTAGCAAACGATCATCTTTATATTCAAGAAGACTGACTTAGAATTCATCAGTTTTTCTTCAACATTTTAAAATCAAACATTTAGAAAAATTACTTTTTCACTTTAGAGGAGTTTTGCTTTAATTTTTCTTATTATGAGTTCTGCTATTTTTCACTTAGTCTTATTTATTTAGACTCTTTTATTTAAAGGGTATGTGTAGAAGTAGTATGCTTTACAATTTGTTTTTTTCTGGAATCAATCTTTGGGTTACATAGTACTTACCAGATTTGAGGTTACTGAAGGAGAGCGAGAAGTAGAGTCACCTTGGGCAGTTCTCAAGATTGAGTAACGGACATGATTTTGTCCCTCATCCATCTGTTCACCACTCTAAAGAGTAAGAGGGAGAAAGAAGAAAAGGTGAGGAAAGGGTTCTAGTATAGTTTCTTCTCATAATTAAGAGTGCAAAACCAAACTCTCCAAAATAAGAACTTATATGCTTTCTCCCACCAGATTGTGGGCTCCAAGAAAGTAGGGACATTAGCTCACTGTTGTATCCCCAGGGCCTAGCACAGTGTTGGATACATAGCAGGTGTGCAGTGTGTATTTGTTGGTAAATGAATCCCTTCATTTCTAAAGCAGTGATTAAGCATAGCACAACCCTGCCCAGCTACTTCCAGGTCATTCCCCTGCTCTCACATCTACTTTTATGACTATTCTTCAAAGGAATGAGCAAGTTAACTTTAATATATAAAATTATTTTTTTTAAAGGAGTAACAATTAGTCAGGTGGACGAAGAAACATTTTCTATATTTGCACCAACACCCAGTGCCATGCATGAAGCAAGAGACTTCATTACCGAAATCTGCAAAGATGATGTAAGAATAGATCTTTTAATAGTCGTTTTCTTCTACTTTTTGTTGCTGTTCTCTTTATGAATCTTACGGCTTATTTTGCACTTACAGCAAGAGCAGCAATTAGAATTTGGAGCAGTATATACCGCCACAATAACTGAAATCAGGTAATATCAACTAAAATGCTGTGCTGGTTTTTATAAGATTTATATTACAAGCTCATGTTAACTTCACATTTGCATTATTTACTTTGAAATTGTAAGATGTTTAGATTATATGTCAATTACCATATAATAATTATTTATTTTTAACATAAAATTTATTTTCTGCACCAGTTTGTAGATTTTCACTAACATGGTTCTGTGATTATAATTATACTAATATATTCTTCTAACTGAATTGTCTTCTTTAACCAAATTTCCCACCATTTTAATCTTCCCAATAAACAGTAAACAAGCCCCAAATAGACTTAGCAATATTTCCTTTTTCTTTTTTTTTTTTTGGTAGTTTCTTGTTTGTCTGTTTTAAAGATAGTACTATTTAAGGCCTAAGTAGTGCATTTTTTTTTAAATGCCAGTTTCAACCTCAAATCATTTTTTCAGCAGCTAAAAAGATTGCATTTTCTGAGTCAGAAAATTCCCTTTTTAAGAAAAAAAAATTATCAGATGTAGCATGCATGTTCAGAACTATTTGAAATGAATTATAAAAGGCAATGGGATAATTTGTTTAATATCACAGGTGAAAACTAAGAAATGAGATGGTTTATTTTAGTAGATTAAAGAAAAAAAGGAAGATAAATTTTTTAATGAAATAAGTATGCCATTTTATGTAACCCCCTTCCTTAAATCACTCCTTAATAGGTTGATGATAATTCTACACTTATTTTAAAATATTTAATGTCATTTCAAAACTTTTTGGAAAATATTATGAAGAGAAATATAAAAGAATATATATTTCAAAAGCTTTAACCAGCATATTTTTTCCTTTATCTTTTCTCTGTCCTTTGATCTATAAGTATTTAAATATAAAGTGTATTTTCAATTGGAAAAATAAGTATCCCTCTTAGATACTTTTTATAGTTACAAAAACATGTACTGGAGAGGGGTTTTTATGTGTTTTTTTACTTTGTTCTCCTATGAAAACATAATCACAGTTTAATTATCAGTAGATAATAGAGTTACTTATTGCTCTAACCAGGCTTATTTCCTTTTCATAGAGACACTGGAGTAATGGTTAAACTATATCCAAATATGACTGCAGTACTACTTCATAACACTCAACTTGATCAACGAAAGGTAAAAACAAGAAAGGCATAGTTGATTATTTTAAAAACTGCCTTAAAATAACCATAGTGAAATTACCTAGGTTGATGAGGATTGTACATCTTGTCCACTACTAGCCTAAATACAAAAACAAAACCAAAAAGACAGAGATACTGCTGTTTTACACTGTTTACCAGATAATATTTCTCTTTCCATGATGGAATAAAAACATTCTTGAGTGTTTTAAGGTAGAATAGCCTCTAGAGTTAACACATAGCAGTTAGTAAAAATATCTAGTTACAGCCCTGTTTTCCCAATTTTCCTGACCAGTCAATCATGGAAAGATAATTCTTAGGATGTTCTTAGTCTTTGTTGTAGTCTATACATTTGGAAGACCATTATGAAACCAATATGAAACCATTCAAGAATACTATGGGGGCAGAGAAAGAATAGGTCTGTTTTACCAAATATTATTAAGTAATACAGGATAAAACAGTATTACTGGCCCAGAAATAAACAACAGAAAATAGAGACCAGAAATAAACCGAGTTATATACATAAGAGTATAATACATACTAGAAGTTGCATTTTTAGTCAGTGAAGAAACAAAGATTATTCAATAAATCATATTAGTACAGCTAGTTATCATAAAACAGGATCTTTCCTCTTTTTATACCAAAATCCCATTTGGATCAAGGAGCTAAATATAAAAAAGAAAACTTTTCTTTTTAAGGCAGTGAGGGCAGAAGAAGAAAATCTGGGCATCGGGAGGGGTGAGGGTTGAGGAAGGACACTAGAAGAAAATATGCATATTTAATAATCTTGGGACTGGGAAAATCTTTCTCAGCATGATATCAAAGCCAAAAATGTAAGTAAAGTGATAAAATTTGACCCCATGATATTTTTAAATTATGGCAAAACTACAGTAAGTTTGAAAGACAAGCAGCAACTTAGGGGAAAAACTGCTTATATGACAGAGGCTTCATGTACAAAGGGCTTGTGTAGGTCAGTAAGAAAGATGAATATCAATAGGAAAATGAACAAAGAACATGGAAAAACTGTTGTTGTTGTTGTTTTTAAGCTAACCAAGATATTCAGTATCAACAGCAATTTTTTAAAATGCAAATAAAGCCAAGTTACCATTTTTCAACTTTTCAGATAGTTGAAAATTCCCAATGTGCATAAATAAGAGTGTAGAGAAAAAATGGACACTGTCATACACTGTTGATAGGAATGTAAAGTGGGGCAAACTTTTTGGAGAGTGTTTGGTAAATATACAATTACCTTTGGACCTAGAAGTTCCACCACAAAGTTCCTCTCATACTTTGTTCTGAGAGGATAGACTATATGAATATATAATCACTGCACCACTGCAGTTTATTTTCCCTCAACTTTGTATTTTGAAACTTTTTAAACCTACAGAAAAGTTGAAAAAATAATAGACCAAACACCCATATACCTTTCACCTAGATTCACTGATTATTAACATTTGCAACACTGGAATTTAAAATAAATTAAATGACCATCTTTAGGGGATTGGTTAAACAAATAATTTAATTTGAATATTCAATTATAATGCTTCATTTATTAATATGAAAAGATCTCAACATATTATTGAATAAAAATCTATATATTATAAAACAACAAGCTCAGTAAGGTCCATTTTTATAAATGCAAGACACACACTAAATAGCTATTTGAAGGGATACTCATTGGAGTGTTACCATTAGTTATCTACAAGCAGAGGGGTTTTGGATGATTTTTACTATCATCTGAATACTTCTGTATTATTTTAAATCTTTATAATTAACAGATTTTATAATCAGAAAAACCAATAAAGCTGTTTTCCACTTGGAAAAAAATGTGTACTACCATGGATAGTAGGTAATTATGCATGACAACTAATAGATTAACACATTCTCTTTCAGATTAAACATCCCACTGCTTTAGGCTTAGAAGTTGGCCAAGAAATTCAGGTACTTGTATTCAACCTTTTAGCCTTAAAGTTGTAAATTATACTTGAAGTTTCAATTATTTGTTTCATCAAATAAGCTGAAAGAATCAAATCAACATCTGTGATTTATATTATTTATATGCTGTGCTTCTTTTTTAACTTTAGGGTTGCTTAAAACAGACTCATTAGGGATTTAGATACAATTCTTTCCCTCAAGGAGCTTACGGGTTAGTTAGGACAGTAGTCCCCTTTAGAGCTTTTAAAAATACATGAGCCAGTCAGGGATGGCTATGCAGAGTATTAGGTATAAGGTATTTGAGGAGTTGAGACTTTAATTGCTTCTATACTGCTTGAGGCTAAAAGTTCTTGAGTTTGATGAAAGCCATGATGTCAGTTCTAGAATTCTGATAACAAAATAGACTTTTTTTTTTAACCTTTTTAATAGTCCTGTATGAGTAGATGAAAGAAGTGGTTGACAGTCTGGTTTTTTTTGGCTGTACCACATTCTGTTCCAGTTGTTCCTGATACCCATGACCTGAGTAACTAAGACTTCTGGTTTATTCCCAATCTGTAGTCCCATTGTTCAAGTAGCCTCTAGAGAAAGATAAGAACTAAAACATAATCTCTCTGTATAAGATAGTTTTTAAGTCCCTTCTGATGTAAAAAGACAACCACATTTCCCCCTGACTTTCAATGTCTGTGTTCAAGCCAAATAACCTCCAGTGTGATAGATGGTCCTTTGAGTGTTAACAGTGAGTGACCTAAGCATAATCTTATATAGTTTGTAGCATACTTAGGCTCAGGAAGCCCTTATCTAGGTTCACAGACCATGGCTTTCACTGTTCTTCCAGTATAGGCACCTGGTCCGGAGAGAATAAGGCACAGATAAGTCTAACAGAAGATTATAATTGGGCAACTAAATCCCCCGTCTCTTCTTTTTTTATAATCACTACTTAACCAAATTATATTTATTAGCATATACGTCCAGTTAGCACTGAGCCATGATTTCAGTGAACAAGTGAAAATATTAAGCATTGCTTTATTTGGACCATGTAAGTTTAAATTAACATTTCAGGGAAACCCCCGAACGAACTTTTTAGCCAACCCAATAATTTGGGCATCAGTCAATGTGCTGTAACTTTTAAAGTATATTTGTTTTTTTAACACAGGTGAAATACTTTGGACGTGATCCAGCTGATGGAAGGATGAGGCTTTCTCGGAAAGTGCTCCAGTCTCCAGCTACAACTGTTGTCAAAACTTTAAGTGACAGAAGCAGTATTGTAATGGGAGAATCTATTCCACAGTCATCATTTAATTCTT